AAAAAAAAAAAAAAAAAAAAAAAAAAAAAAATCTTGATTATATGTACCACATATGTAAGAAAAGTTGAGGGGAGAATGATTACATTTTTTTTATCCCATCGGAATTATTAACTCCGACGAATTAAAATGCAAACATTTGAAAATACATAGAGATTTTTCAATAAATAAAAAATTATCATAACTAAAAAAAACTAAATGTTTGTTAAATTGTAAATATCAAAAAATAAAAATAAAAAAAATTATCATTTAAAATTATTTTCAAAATAGGTTTAAAAATATGCACACGCGAAATTAAAGGAACTAGAAATTTATTATCAAAATAAATTATTTATAATAAAATTTGGAAAAATAGAATAATATATTAAGTACAAGAAAGGAATAATATTAAGAAAAAAAAACCCCAAAAAAAAACCCAACACGAAAACCCCATATTATAAAAAAAAAAAGAACCACAAACAACTACAGTATTTCTAGATTTCTATGTATATATAAAAATTAAATTTTAATAAAATGAAAATGCTAAATGACACGTAATGCGTATTTTTTTTTTCTATTTTGATTTATATATATATATATATTATATTGGTTTAATTTTTTTAATACATCAAGAGACCAAATATTAAACCAACCAAATTCAAACCAAATGCAGAAGTAATTTTATCAGCTGAACTGGTAGATGATGGAGTTGGTGATTCAGCAAAAGCAGCTGTAGGTGCAGGTGAAGAAGAGGGATAAGCAGCAGCAGCAGGAGCTGGAGCTGGAGCTGGAGCTGGAGCGGGAGGAGCTTTTTTACCTGCAGCAGGAGCAGCAGCAGGAGCAGCAGCAGCAGGAGCAGCGCCAGCTTTTCCTTCTACGTAGGCTTGTAAACCAGTACATTGTTCTACTGTAACAAATGTGTAACCTTTGGCTTTAATCATATCAATGATTTTGGGGACATAAGCGACGCTATAGTCCTTAATATCATGTTGTAATGTAATAAAGGAATCAACCTTTGGATTGGAAGGATTAATAATTGTTTGCATATTGGTGAAAAGTTTTGGTTGGTCAGCAACTTTTCCTTCATATTGCCAATCATTAGAGTCACAATTCCATTGTATTACGTTTAAGCCCATTTGTCCTTCTAGGACTTTAGCACAAGCAGCGTTACAATTACCGAAAGGAGGTCTTAAATTATAAAAAAAAATTCAAAAAGTTAGATAATAATAATAAAAATTTTTTTTTTTTTTTTTTGAACAAATTGAAATGATAAAGGGAAAAGCGGGATTAAAGAAGGGTTTAAATAAGTTTTGAATTTTTTTTTTTTTGTTCGACTATAATTTAATATAAATATATATCTCTTCATTAGTAAATAAAAAATGCGATTTCCAAATAAAGTATCAGCTTAAATTAAAAATATGCAAGTAGATTATGAAGATGATAATATGATGTGGCTTAAAAAAAAATATAATAAAAAAAAAAGAAACAAATCTAAATATAACCGAATATCGTTCGCAGGGGTAGAAAAAAAAGAATAAAAATAGAAATAAAAAATTTAAATGAAACTTATTTTTCAAACCTGAATCATGAAATCATGAAAAGGAACAAAAAAAAGATGGCTTTGTAAAAGACGTGATTTTTTCTTAATAAAAATAAGATATTATTTGAAAGTGGCAAATAAATATAGTAAATATGGAAATATAGTAAAAATACTGCGCGTAACAATTGCAGTGACAGCGTTTCAAAAGGGAAGAAAAGGAGAAAAGAAATGGATAAATTTAGAGACAAATGACTTAATTGTTACAGATTTGACTCGGATTGTTTATATTATATTTTTTTTTAAAAAACGAAATAAAAAAAACCATTTAGTAAGATTGTTTAGATTTTACTTTTTAGTTTAGAAACAGTTCACCCGTGTTAAACAAAGGAATATTCTATTCAATTGATTCTTAACCAAATAAAGTTAGTAAGAATTTAAATGTACATCAAAATAAATAAGCATGAGTGGAACTGTTTTGCATAAATATCTCAATTTTTAAAAAGAGACCCAGTAAATAAAAACCGACCGGAAATATGTACCACATGTTTAAATGACATTATAATATTTCTAATACAGGTCAAGAAAAAAAATAATTTTTTTTATTATTTTAATTTTTTGCTCGGAAAACTCCCTAATATTCATAATAGGAAATCGGTAAAAAAGGAAAGCCTTTAATTAATACAATGAAAAAAAAAAGGATATTATATCATTCAATCAGCAAGTAATTCATACTGTAATACGGGAATAACGGGATTATGTTGTTATATGAGAATGAGTAACTATGGATAAAATTAAATATGTAAATAATTTACTAAAATGTACGAAAATGTAAAATATATATGCTAAATATAATTTTTACAACCAAACTTTATATTAACCGTCCAGTGATAATTACAGTAGATCATTGAGGACCCTTTTTTTATACAGCAGAATAATTTTACTTTACGCGGAAAGTTCGATTATGATCTCTCTATTTTCATACTAATGTAATTGGTAAATTAGATAATCCATACATGATATTCAACATGAACAAATCAAATTAACAAATATGGAAATACGGTCATAAAAATATAATGTTTTACAAATTTCATTTTTATAAAAAAAAAATTGGGTTATAATCTCCGAAACTATAATATACTTTTTGAATTTATAATATACTTTAGATAACGATAACTACCCAAAGTATATTATTATTTAAAATATCCAAAGATTAAAAAAAAATATGTCGTATTTAATCATGCTTACATTATTTTTATTTAATTTTAATGTTTCACATTTATATTTCGTATATTTTCGTATATTTCGTCAAACAAATAATTGATCCAATCCAAATATTTGATGATTTTTTTGATTATTTTTTTTTTATTTTTAAAAATTTTTTTAAATTTTTTTTTTTTTTTCGGAAAAAAGCGAAAAAAATAAATTTTTTTTTAATTTAAAAATAAATTTTTTAACCATTTTTNGGAAAAAAGCGAAAAAAATAAATTTTTTTTTAATTTAAAAATAAATTTTTTAACCATTTTTGGGAAATTTACTTTATAAAAAGTAAATTTTTTTAAAAAAAGTCACACTAAATTTGAATTATTTGCATATTAACAAAGATTTTTTTTATTATTATTCAATGACATACTTTTTTTGAGTTAGTTATTTATGCAATTGAAGATTCGAAAGAAGTATGCTAGATTTAGCCAAAAAAAAATATATTCTAATATAGTATAACAGTATGAAATTTTTTAATATTTTTTTTTTATTTTATTTTTCAAAAATGTTTTAAAAAAAAATAAAAATAAAAAAATAAAAAAAAATAAAAATTTATTTTAATCATTGTTCATCCGAAAAGAAATAAAAATGTAATTATTAAAATTAAATTCACAATTCACAATTCCACAATTCACATGTTTTTAATAATAATAATAATTAAAAATGATAAAATTGGTATAAAAGGATTTATTGATGAATATCCCAGATTTTTTTCAGGTTTAACATCATAGTCCCTAATTAAGGTTCAGTGTACCAGGGAAAAAAATTATGGCGTTTTAAATTTGTGGCTTTTCTTTTTTTTATTTCCTTTTGAAATATATAATCAAAAAAACCTTATTTTATAAAAAATACATGGGAACTTCGGTAAATAGATTTTTTATTAAAAAGAAAATAATTATTTTTAACATATGATATAATATAATATTAATACTTAAAATTTTCCCTCCTGTAATTTTCTTTACTTATTTTAGAAAAAATCTCTCAAACGTTAATCATAATGCAATGATTTCTGTAAGGGTTATAATTGTTTTCTTTCGATTGGTCACGAGTCAATGTCTAAATTGACAAAACAAGTGTTTACCGCAGTAATCGCAGTATTTTCGTAAAAAAATTTTACCGATGTTACATTTTAACCGATCTACGCATATTTATACACACATGATACATCATCACCATTTTTTAATATTGTTACGCGGAACAATATAAAAAGGTTCCATCTATGTAGAGTCATCATTAGTTTAAATCATAATCTCTCTCTCTTCTTAGAAAAAAAAAAAAAAATTAAAATTTTAATAATGTCAAACTTAATTAATTATAGCAATGGTGAGATGAAAACATCAACCTTTGAAGAAAAGATGGAAAATGCGAATTTTCCAATGTCTGACAAAGGTCGTGTTTATCATGTAGAGGTAAAAAGAGGTGAAGGTATGCATCAAAATAGTTATTGTTTTTTTCTAAAAAAAAAAATAATGTTTTTATTTTAAACTTTATCATATTTTTAGTCGCGAATAGGATCATAACCGTTGGTGATCATACTAGAGCAGAAGAGTTTGCTCAATATCTTGATAAAGATTCTCCTTTATTTCGTTTGAGTTCTGCTAGGGGTTTCTTAACTATAACCGGTAAATATAAAGGTGTTCCTATCTCAATAATAGCAATCGGAATGGTAAGTTTTATTACTTTCCAGAAAAATTAAAAATTATAAAATCACATGATCTTTAATCCATCTCCTCACATCATCATCTTACATCTCTCATCGTCTCACCACATCGTCTCACAATATCACATTGTCTCACCGCATCATCTCACCGCATCATCTCTCCTTCACCCAGGGACTTCCTATGATGGATTTCTTTGTTAGAGAAGTTAGATCTGTTGTTGATGGTCAATTGGCTATTATAAGATTTGGTACTTGTGGTTCTATAGGTGCTGCTAGAACTGGTTCTATAATTGTACAAAATGCTGCTTTTGCCATTACTAGAAATTATAATTATTTCTCTGATACTGAAGAAATTGAATCTGAATTAACTGATGAAAAACCTTATAATTTTACAAAAATTTTTCATGCTGATCCTCAATTATATAAAAAAATTGAATTGGAATTAATAAACTCTTTTGGTGAAGATAATGTATTTACTGGTTTAAATGCTACTTGTGATTCATTTTATTCATCTCAAGGTCGTAAAGATGGAAATTTTCGTGATTATAATTCAAATTTAATTTCAACTATTTCTGATGTTTATCCCGAAGCTATTTCTTTAGAGATGGAAGCTTTTATGTTATTTCATCTAGCAAAATCAAGTACTTCTTTACCATTAAAAGATTCTAATAATACTATATTAAAAAATAGTATTAAAGCTGCTTCTGCTGCTATGGTAGTTGCTGATAGGGTTACAAATGATTTTATTAGTCCTGTTAAAGTTCATGATATACAAAAAGTTGCTGGTAAAGCTGTATTAAATGCTTTGGTTGATTTTGAATTAATTTATGTTCATCCTGATGATGATGATTGTGTTTGGAATCAAAATTAATTCTTTTTTTTTTTTCCTTTATAATCATTTTCCTTTATGTATTAATCATTTTCCTTTGTATTAATCATTTTCCTTTATAAATAAATAATAATCTTCCTTTATATAATAATAAATGTTTTTTTATCATTATATAAAGAAAAATTAATCCCTCCCTTTATTAATTAATTAATTAATTTACAAATTTAACTAAAAAAAAAAGTATTTATACTATACAAAAGAAATTATTAAAAAAAAAATACATATATAAAATACAATAATATAATTTCTCCGTTAATTTAATTATTATTTAACGTGAGGGAATACTTTAGGAAAAAGGGTAAATTGTTCATAACGATAAATAAGAAAAAAAAATGAGAGAAAAGGAAGGTAAGTTGTTTCAAGTTCATTACGATCAATGAATGATATTAAAGCTTAAGGATAAACGAGATCATTCTTTTGCACTGGATAATGTTGCAATCTAACATTAAATCGCCATATTAGGAAGTAAAAATAAAGCTACAAAAAAAAAATATATATATAAATATATATTATATATTGGTTATTTTAAATTTTTCTCAAAAGAATGAATACTTACCATTAATACGAAATCAACCACAAGGAAGAGAGCAAAAACATTAGATATTTGTTTAACTCCAGCTGTACAAAATTGATTTGGTAATTTTGGACTATCATATAATGCTGGTGGAGGTTTGAAACCATTATATTCTTCATGTGCTTGAACCCAACTAACTCCTCCATTATTACATGACCATATAATCCTATCTGAATATTTATTTAATGACCATACCATTACACCTGCTCTAACTGCTCCTAATACTATTATTACAGGATATAGTAAAAAGATAAATCTGCTAAATACATATGATCTTGATGAAAGTGCTATAACTGCCAGTAATGCTAACGCTCCTTGACCCATTGCATATCCACCATAGATTGCTGCTTCTTTAAAGAGCGTAAAGAAAAATTCTCCTAATTGAAATAAAAATATTCCAGCTCCAATTTGATATAACTATTATACATAAAACACGCAGAAACAATTGATTAGTTTAAGCATACATGCATAATGCATAATAATAATTAATTGAATTTTTAAGTTATCTTACCGCCATTATCACACCAAGAGCCATGGCTCCAGCTCGTAACGGAAATAATAAACAACAATTATCGCACCACATATTATATTATTTTGTAATAGAAAAAACGTATGGGACGTAAAGGTTCAGTCAAATAACTTTAAACAAATGTTAAGTTTGTCGTTAAAAGAAGTCGTTCAAGTTACTATATTGGTGTTTAAGTAAAATAAAACCGTTCAATAAAAAGAAATTAACAAAATATTCCCTGACTGAACTAAGGAGTCGTAAATAAAGAGCAGGTTGGTCTTGAAAAAAAAAAGCAGGAATTGAATTGAAATATATCTTTTTATATATAGATGATTGACAGTCCCTTTTACCCCCCTATTATTTTCTACTATATTGGGGATTCATATGTTTAAACATGACTTCATTATTGATTTCGTTACCAAAAAAAAAAAAAAAATTATCTCCTGTTGTGTAATTTAATAATTATTTTTGTTGCGTTTAACTTAATCTGTGGTTAATGAATGAAGTTTTATTGGATAATATCATCAAAATTTCAAAAGTAAAAAAGAGAAGTGTTACACTGACGGTCGCGAAATTCCTTTAACATCCCCAAATTTCATTCTATAAAATATTTTCATAACCCCAATGAATTAATTTTCTTTTTTTGACTTTAAAAAAATTTTTAATCGTCCTCTTCATATGAAAAAGAAATTATGCGAATTCCATTTTACGTAACAAATTTATAAATTTTGTAAAATAATGAAAACTTCATAAAAAGATATTTGTTTCTGAATTAAGAATGAGTAAAGGGACTGATTATCAACTTATTTATATACAATGAGATCATTATTAATATAGTTATTTATAGTTTGATGCTAAACATAGTTTCAGTTTCACAAATCAATCACATTGTTTTTTTGCCAACTTGCTTTTTTCTGTTTAATTACGCTAAAACGGTAATCAGAACTAAGAATTTTTAGGGAGAATAGTTTGGAAGTTGGGACTATATTTAGTCAAACACAATTTGTATATTGGCATTATAATGTTGGGTTGTACAAATCACTTGTTTTTGTGTAGCATATAATCATCGTGTTAAATAATGAAAATAATGAATTTTTAGAAAACTTCTTTAATTAATAAAATTAATATATTATAGATTTAAAATTTAAATATCTCCTAAATATAGTAATATAGTTATAATATATGCGAGATGTAGTAAATCATAAAAGTTATGATATAACATATTACATATTTTATTAATAGATTCGCGCTAAATGCATCGACAAAAATGACAAAAATTTTATGCATTGTCAAAAGAAAATTGGAATTAACAGTGTAAGTTGCTCGATTGGACATTTGGATATCCAATTGGGATATCCAACTGGATATACAGTATATTCATTTGTCCAAGTTGATAAGTTATATCTATAAATTATTTTAATGACACTTGTCACACTGTCGTTTAGACAATGTCCTTGGTGTCATTGGATAAATTAATATAATAAATTTCGATTTTTTTATATATTATTTATTGAATTTTGATATAAAAGTGCATTTATATTATTTATATTCTTGTTAAATAATCCTATGTCTATTATTATTTTTTATATGCTACTTTCATATTGTCAAAAAGATATTTTAATTATAACAGTTTTTGTAAAAAAGAGATCATATACAGTAGATATATAAGAATATAAATTTTTCTTTAAAGAAAATTCTTATAAATTAAAGTTACATATCATTTTAATTTTAAATTTTAATAATCAAAAATCAATTAAGAATAAAAAACTTTAGTATTTAAATATGAATTTAAAATTAATAATTTACATGTTTTCAGAAAAGTAAAATATTAACAAATATGATAAGTACACTATGCTATACTTTTCTAATAGGAAAAAAATATTTATTAATGTTTTGCTTTATATTTATATTTAATATAATTTATTATAAAGTTTTTTGATTGAAATCTAATATACATATAAAACTAAAATTAAAACCTAAAAGTCAAAAATATTTCAGTCTGAAAAATCTAAAAAAATTTAAAATAATTTTACAATTTTATATATAAAATTATAAGAATTTTCTAGAATTTTACCAAAATTCATGATTTTAAAAAGTAAATTTCTTAACAATTACTAGTTGAATCTTTTTAATATTTTGAAATAAATTAATTTTAAGTTAAATTAATTTTTGGCATTTATTTTACTACTTTAGCTATTCTGATTAAAAAGTTAAAATTTTTTTATTTACTTTAATAAAATGGATTATTATTATTATTATTATTATTTTATTATAGATGCAGTTTTGTCATACTATAATCATTGTCACTTATGTTTACTACCTGTGGATGTATTGGTCAAAATTAAAAAAATTAGACATATGGAAAATCGGCCAAAAATAAAACCAAAATTGGCTAATATTACAAATCGGCATATCTGATTGATGCCAATCAAACAATTTGATAAAAATTCAGCAAAAAATCATCATATTTGATTAACGGCTGATTGATGCTAGTTGAAATCAAAAAAAAATTGGACAAAATGGCAAATTAACCTAAAATTTACCTAATATTTAAATATGGTACTTCAGATTTATGGAAAATTGACAATTCAATAAAAATTCAATAAAAATTTGGCAAAAAATTATCATATTTGATTGATGGCTGATTGATGCTGGTTAAAATCAAAAAAAAAATTGCAAATCAACCTAAACTGAATTTATTCAATATTTAAATACAGTCAACTCTCTTTATAGTCACACATTTGGGACAGTCCATATTTGGTGATTATAAAGAGATGTGACTATATAAAAAATTTCTTATATTTGTATATCATAATTCCGGCCAAAAATTAACATAATTTTAGCCAGAATTATACTTAAAACTTTATTGTATCGTAACTTCGCCAATATTAATCGTAGAGA